TGTGTACATTGGTGTTTTTTGTGGTGAAAACGGTAGCAGTTAAGGCATTGGTCGATGTGAATAAAGCATTCGGGTTCCAGGTTGTAGGTGGGGACCGATGTATTAAACATCATGTCCCCGAGAGAGAAGTTTCTGGGCTTCCTCGGGGGATGAGACGCGAATCTTGACGATTCGCGACTCGGGTGGCTTGTAAACGTCGAGAACAGTGACACCGTTCTTGACGGAAACCTCCTGGCAGATGGACTCGCACGATCGTGGGGGGATCGTCTTGTCGATCTTTTTCGCCACGATCGTACACTTAGCCTTCATCTCGGGGGAGGGAACAGGTGAGAAGCCATGATCTTTGAGCTTTCTTTGGCCGTCGGCCGAAAGAAATGGGGTCAGGTGTTCAGGCTTGGCAACTGTCACTTTGAAGCCATTATGGACCTTAAAGAGGTGTGTGACTGCCATCTCAGTGATAATGAAGATATTCTGGAGAGCCTCCTCGCAAGAGATAGGCTCCCCAGAATACGCTAATTTGATAACGTGACCCATGGGGTTACGCCATAGCGAGGGTGATGGATGATGGGTAAAGGGGAGGCTAGCAGAGCTAATTCAACTGGACGATGAAAGGGCGGAAGTGGTATCAAAAAACGGTGAAGCGCACACGGTAGCCAACTGTCTCTATTTGGGAAGGCCGGTCGGGGTCGGAACCCTGCCGAACGGGCGTGAGCCCTTATGTGTTCGGCCGAACACTTCGCAGCGAAACTGTCGGCTGCCACTGTGCGTCGTGCTTTTAATTACTTGCACATCAAGGCTTGTAATTAAAGGCACTAGCCCAAAGCAGGTATTGCGCAACTGCACCCAAAGCAGTTACACCAAGAGCCAATCGTCTTGTCCGTCGTGGGAGTTTTAATCTCTTTAAGTTATCCACGATAGCAACACGAAAAAACTCGTACCTAAAAGATCCAGGTAAGCCCTTGTCCTGTACCTTTTTTAATCTCATTAATAAAGTAATCTCATCCAGGTACTGCCCTCTCTTATCCCCATTTTAAATACCTTCACCTCGTCTCCTGACGCTTGTGACCGCCACCTCACCCCTCACCCTCACTCATACCATATCCTTGCCATAGCGTTGACCCTCATCCTTATCCTTACCCTGACATCCCACTGGTTTCGGTCTCCGACACGTGGCGCTTGCTGCTAGTACTCGTGCCAGGACCACAAATCCTTTAGCGTAAGGGTTTGTGCGAGTCGAGGAAAGAAGCCAGTGGAGTTAACCCAATCGTGGTGAGGCTGCCCGAGCCGCGCCCCTCCGGCCGAGGGAGAGAAATCTCCTCTCGACCCGGGCGGGAGTGGCCAGCCTCTGTGAGGCCTCACTCGAGCTTCATCCTGCTTCAGCGGTGATGGTTAGCCGAGGGACAGCTCTGGAGCCACGGTCGAGAGGCCGTGGCTCCGAGCATACCGCAGATGGCGCCAAAAACCTGCTAACTTCTCTCCCCTCCCCCTCAGTTAGCCGAGAGGCTCCGTGTTCGCCATAGCGAGGCTCCACGCCCCGTGGGAAGAATGTGGTGAGGCGAGCCAAGCTCAAGGTCGTGGGGGTATTCCCCGCGCCACGAGTCAACCGATGGCGCTGGGCCCCTCGATCCTTTTCCTCTTTCAACAAACCCACTCCAACTTTTCCTCCTCCTTATCCTTCTCCTATCCCCACTCTTCCTCCCCCCCCCCCGTTGCATCGTCCCAGGAACCACCAAAGTTTCCTATTGACTATTTTGGAGACACCTCGGCCAGCGCTCCCCCATCCCCAAGACCCGGGAAGGAGCCTCAGGTCCTTCCCTCTCTCTTCGTCTCTCGTTCAGTCGAGCAGACTTCCCTTGAGCGAAGAGTCGTAGCGTTGACGACCAAGGAAAGGCGCGCGTGGCCAATCAGCTGCGAGGAGCTGTGTGGAGAGTGAGGGAAGCCATAAGGTGAGATCTTGCTAGAATGAGTTAAGGTATTTCATACTATAGCATGTATTTTGTGGGTAAATATGTAGCAATATTTGTGCACACATACACGTAAGGAGTGTGGACAAGCTTTGCAATTCCCTGTCGGTGATGTTATTTAATCATCATATCAATACGGAAGTGCATTATTCCATTATGCACCTATTAAGTATATAGGTGTATGATTGATTTCCGATTTCAGATTTGAATTACTATATCTTTACCAACCGATTTCCCCCGGTGTGTATATAAAACTTTCCTTTCCTTTCTCACATGTAAGTAAATAGGTAATGTCTATGGAAGCTACGTATCTCCCTTTTGCACATTATTTTAGTGGTCGCGGAGCTCAGTGGAAGAGCATTAGCTTTGCAATTACCTGCTTCCAATAGTGAGGGGTCGAGTCCCCATCGATGAGGTTATTTATTAATATCTATCTATCTATATATATATATATGTGTGTGTGTGTGTGTGTGTGTGTGTGTGTGTGTGTGTGTGTGTGCCACATACAATCAAGTGAACAAAAAATGAAAATGAAACAAGCCACAATGAGAAATTGAAAATAAGCATATTTTGAATTTCTCATTGTGGCTAGATTCATTTTCATATATATATATATATATATATTATATATATATATATATATGTATATATATATATATATGTGTGTGTGTGTGTGTGTATATATATATATATATATATATATATATATATATATATATATATATATATACGTGTATGTGATGTGTGTGTGTGTATGTGTGTATATTTGTATATCTGTGTGTGTGTCTATGTATGTATATATATATAGATAGATAGATATAGATATACATATACATAATACATACATATATATATATATCCATATATATATTATATATATATATATACATATACATATATATATATTTATATATATATATATATGTGTGTGTGTGTGTGTGTGTGTGTGTGTGTGTGTGTGTGTGTATGTGTGTGTGGTGTGTATATATATGTATGTATGTATATATTCTATATATTCTATATATTCTATATATATATAATATATATATATATATATTATATATATATATATATATATGGTTTTTTGGGTTTGTGTTCGGTGTGAGGGTGCTTGTTGGGGTTGTGTGGGCAGAGTTGTCGAGGGAAGTCGTGGGTCGTCTGGGTGTACTGGTCTGAGCAGGTCGTGTGCAGCTGTTGTTGCGTAGGAAGGGACAGTGTTGTTGTCTTGGCGGAGCTCAGCTCGTTTTGCCTTAAGTATTTCCTTCCGTTTAGGGCAGGATCCACTAACTGCGACATGCGATCCTTCGCAGTTGCAGCATTTGATGGTTTCAGTGCACCTGGTGAAGAAATGACCGTCGCCGGCGCACCGAGAGCATCTCTGGGGGTGTGTATATTGGTGTTTTTTGTGGTGAAAACGGTAGCAGTTAAGGCATTGGTCGATGTGAATAAAGCATTCGGGTTCCAGGTTGTAGGTGGGGACCGATGTATTAAACATCATGAGTCCCCGAGAGAGAAGTTTCTGGGCTTCCTCGGGAGATGAGACGCGAATCTTGACGATTCTCGACTCGGGTGGCTTGTAAACGTCGAGAACAGTGACACCGTTCTTGACGGAAACCTCCTGGCAGATGGACTCGCACGATCGTGGGGGGATCGTCTTGTCGATCTTTTTCGCCACGATCGTACACTTAGCCTTCATCTCGGGGGAGGGAACAGGTGAGAAGCCATGATCTTTGAGCTTTCTTTGGCCGTCGGCCGAAAGAAATGGGGTCAGGTGTTCGGGCTTGGCAACTGTCACTTTGAAGCCATTATGGACCTTAAAGAGGTGTGTGACTGCCACCTCAGTGATGATGAAGATATTCTGGAGAGCCTCCTCGCAAGAGATAGGCTCCCCAGAATACGCTAATTTGATAACGTGACCCATGGGGTTACGCCATAGCGAGGGTGATGGATGATGGGTAGAGGGGAGGCTAGCAGAGCTAATTCAACTGGACGATGGAAGGGCGGAAGTGGTATCAAAAAAGGGTGAAGCACACAGGGTAGCCAACAGTCTCTATTTGGGAAGGCCGGTCGGGGTCGGAACCCTGCCGAACGGGCGTGAGCCCTTATGTGTTCGGCCGAACACTTCGCAGCGAAACTATCGGCTGCCACTGTGCGTCGTGCTTTTTATTGCGCAACTGCACCCAAAGCAGTTACACCAAGAGCCAATCGTCTTGTCCGTCGTGGGAGTTTTAATCTCTTTAAGTCATCCACGATAGCAACACGAAAAAACTCGTACCTAAAAGATCCAGGTAAGCCCTTGTCCTGTA